CCCCGGCCCCCCCCGCCTTTATGGGTTGGCCCCCCCCCCCCCCCCCCCCGCACCCGCGCTTGGTGATGTGAGAGCCTGGTCCGGTGAGAACCCGGCGTGCTCCGTCCCGGCTTTGTGGAGATGGGAGGTCAATGGTCTAACGATTACGGCATGCACGACTATGAGTACACACACCCGCTCTTCGTTGTCCTTATCCCCGGCCTCACAGCTAAGCGTGGCAAGGCATGAGTACACCCCCCCCCCGCCCTCATACCGTTGGTTATCCTTCTCCGAAATCCTGACCTCCCTCCCGCCTTTGTTCTGGTGATGCGTGGTCTGGACCCGTCCCTCCCTGATGAAGATTCCGGGTGTCCGGTACGTGCCGATGGTCGGCAAGGTAACTGTCGCCATGCTGGAGAGGAACCTGCTGCGCTTGCACGAGAACTTCGGAGAAGGTGTGTGATCTACGATTCACCGAACTAGACGGACATGAGATAAAACTGTCTCAGCCGAATCCACCCCCCCCAAAAAAACAAAATATCGGATGCACGGAGGAACATGGACGTGCACACATTTTGGTTTGTGCGTTTAAATTTTCTGCCACCCGCTGATTGCGTGAGACCTCTGTCGAATATACGTCGAGGCCCAGCTCTGTCTGAAAATCCATTTGCGCTTGGCTTCCGGATGTGCTCGCCCGTTGTCGCGCTGGTGTATCTCTCCATCCATCCGCCCGTGCGCCGCCTGGAGGCCTTGCCCCACACGACGCGCTCTCAGCTACGAAGTATGATTTTTTTTTTCGAGAAACAGAGGCTCCAATTTGGTCAAGAAACACGGCTCGGCTTTGAATCCTGCACTAAACTCTATTCCGGAGCCCTCTGTGTAGCGCAAAGTCGCAAACCTATTTTCGATTTTGGCCCCAGGTTTATACTATAGTAGAGTATCCTGTACTCGAGAATGGCGATGAAACGAAGAAACTGAGCCTCGGAGCCGATTTTGAAGTTCGTTTCTTTTCTCCGGGCCTGTTCTTTATGTCTTTGGCTGAAGGCGACGCTCCTGATTCGCCGTCCTTCAGAATTCGGGGGACCCCTGTCTCTTGAGGACCGTTCCTGGCTACGTAGCTCTTTAGCTTTGCCTAACATACGTTTTGGGCTCGCGTTGGTATGCATCCCGGCCTGACGAAACCCCCTTCCAGAGACGACACCCTTGTGGGGCGTCCGATCACCGTGAAAAATCGTAGAATACGGAACGTCGAACTTGGGAAACTCGTATCGCCGTTGTCTGTTGCGTTGTGGTCGTGGTGCCTTGCAGCTATCAACGCCCGTTTTCTCTCAACCCCCGCATTGTTTAACATGGGACATTCGTGTCGCCGTTGTGTCTTATGTTGTAGTCGAGGTGCATTTCTCATGGCTAACAACGCTTGTATTCTCCCGACCCCCGCTGGCGAAAACGTGTGGGGCAACAATGACAACACCTCGTAGACATGGCTGCGGAGACGCTGGTGAAGCGAGCCAGCATCGATGCGGGCTCCAGCCAGGAAAAGCCACAAGAGGGTTCGGCATAGCCGGATCCTTGGATGGAGCTTGTTGGCGGCCTATTGTTGACAGCGCTCCCCCACCGCTGCAGTTCAGGAGTTACGTTGGGGATTGTTTTATGTGGGGAGAATTCATGAGCGGGAACTTTCTGCGTAGAAGACCGATAGTTGTGGACTATCGTGACCTTCACGGAGTGATTTTTCGATGGGGCAAATAAAGGGGCGAAGCGTCTACAGCACTCAGGCATCGTCGTGGGAAAAGGCTAGTCGCAGCTATCATGCGAAGTTGAAGCTCACCCGACTTGAAGTTCTCTCTAATGTTCAACGGAGCCGCTGGAACGTTCGATAGATCGTTGCTGCCGATTTCGAAAACAATGCTGTTGGTTTGGCATTTTTTGGTGTCGGACGGCTTGTTCCGTGCGTGCAGGCGCAAGATGTAGCCTGGGAGATGGGGAGGTGATTCGCCGTCATCTAGTCGGGACATGTCCGTACAGAGCTTTGCACCCTTGGCCTGTCAATTTCTGGGTGTGTCGAACCTTCGATCAAGTAGTGAGCTCGATGCGGGAGTCTAATGGACTGTTGTTTTCGTTGTTTTCGTTTCTCGCGTATGGGGTAGTATGCAGGAGGCACCCGACACTAAAGGGAGGGGATCTTACCTACCAGCCTCCCTCTCTCTGTCTCAACGATAAGAACGGCGTGCTTTCCGCAGCCGCGTGGACCCACTGCTACGAGGGCTACATCAGAGATGAATCTATCCAGTGCTTCTTCTCTGTTCCTTTGGACGCAAAGACAGCGTTTCCGTGGTTATTCTTTCCAAGTGTGGTGCAGGAAAAAGAAAACAGACTGTAGTCTAGTCATTGAGAGAACTTGCTGTCATAGCTCACTCATGAGTGAATGTTCTCGTCTTAGACGTCGGTTGCGAATAACAGAACGAGCCATAAGGTTGGCATCGGCAGAGGCCTTCAAACTCGGTGACGACTGCCCTACAGAGCGAGCGCACGCATGGTACGCGTGGTGTTTGAAAACCCCAAAACGTTGGATGTTGTGGTATGCATGTATGTATGTGTATTTTGTCGCCCGGACCGTCTGCACCACTGCGTCAACCATTTTCGGTCACGTCTGCCGCACCGCTGGGTAGGACCTTCGACCCCTCACGCCATGAACATTCGACAAGGGGCAAAACATGTAATCCAGGGAGCACCATCATGTCGTGTCATCCTGTGCCAAATAGGCCAACCCTCAATGCTACATCCAAGGAAACTTATTACATAACCCACGAAATCTGGCCATACTTGTAGCGAAAATGCCATGACCCTCATTAGACTTCGTACAAAATGCAAACAAACCCGTGTCACCCACTCCTCCAGTTTATTTTGTTTTCTTTCGAATTGCTTCATTATTTCTTCGGTTTCTAGGCTACGTGTTGGGGAGAGAGACGCACGAAACGCTCATCGTCTCTCCGGCCGCGTTAGCTGCAAAGGCCGGCGTCAACTCTTACAAATCCATCTCTCTCCCCACAAATACTAGCCGGGGGACTACGACTGCAAACGCAGGAGTCCCAAAACTGACCAAGTCCTCAAATGGTACACACCATTCTACAACACCTGACTAGATACCGAATATTCCCGAACTTATGCCCCCACCTTCGAAAGAAAAGGGATGGGAGGGCGGGATTTTCTAAACTGCCGCCGCTACTGCGTTAGGCGGCTGCTGCTGTCCTTCCGTTGCTTCACGCGCTCTGTAGCTGTCACACGTTACCCGACTTTGCTACAGCCCCTGCGTGGACTCGATCACGGAATGACACCCCCAACTATAGACTAATAATTCCAAACACCGTGACCCTGGGTTTCCGGTAGAAAATGAAGCCAAATTCTAATTCGACTGTTACAAAATAAACACCAGTTTATTCTATCTGCTTCGACGAACAAACCTTCCTTTTATTTTGTTTTCTTTCGAATTGCTTCATTATTTCTTCGGTTTCTAGGCTACGTGTTGGGGAGAGAGACGCACGAAACGCTCATCGTCTCTCCGGCCGCGTTAGCTGCAAAGGCCGAGCGTCAACTCTTACAAATCCATCTCTCTCCCCACAAATACTAGCCGGGGGACTACGACTGCAAACGCAGGAGTCCCAAAACTGACCAAGTCCTCAAATGGTACACACCATTCTACAACACCCACATCGAGGTCAGTTTCTGGACGACTACCGAATAAGTCAACTATCCGTTCCCCCAGACGGTCCCCTCCCCCGGCTGTCTCGATACGATCCTACTGCCGTCTGTAAGTTTCCGTGACACTCGCCGCGAATCCTCTACATTGTTTCGCGCGTACGGCTTGTATGCATCCGACCTCCACTTCCCTTCTCTCTGAATCACTCGTTCTGCGATGTCTCCGCCCGATGCAAGAGCCGTCGCGCCTCCAATTCGCAACGAGTGCAACGCGTACTCCTGGGGGTTACGCCCCGACCTCGCTACCACTTCTCTGAGTGCACGGAGGGCAGCAGTATACCTCACTACTCTCACTGCTCTTCCACTACGGTACGAAGCCAACGGTGCGGAGTCAGGGAACGTCGCATGACACGATAACAGCTCCACCACAAGAGCCACCGCGCCACCGCGTGCTCTCACACCTGACTGCGGTCCGGTGACTTCGTCTCGCGTACGAACCCGTATGTTTCCTTTCTGCTCTTGATCGGCCTTGTGCCCTCTAAACCTCATTTCGACACGGTCTGCTCTACGATAGTGACTAAAGACTAATTGCGTCTCGCCAGCAAACAATGCTACGTCCGCCCTCGTAAGACAGTGTGCCTCATGCACCCTGCCCGCATCATTCGCGAACACCTCATCAGACCGTGTGATAAAGAGATAGGACAAGCACAGACACAGCCACATCACTCTGCCCCCTTCCCCCTCAGTTCTGGCTTGCGCTTTCCCCGTCCAGCAGCATACGCCAAGACACAGGCAGGCGCACACGGCGTACCGTCCCCACAGCCACGTGGTTCCTCGCAATCCCCCTTAGCGCACATTTCAACATCGGAGACGACAAGTCTAGCTCGACAGAAGCTTCCAGCCTATGAAAATGTTGTACAGCCGTGAGTTTTCCGGATATTGTACTCGCTAGATTACCCTCAGACTCGAAACACCAGGCTACGAAGTCTATCAACTCCCACACATGAAGGTCCCCGGCACGTTGCCCTAGGAACTTGGGCTTCTCCGTCAGCCTGCGAAACGTGCACCAAGAGTTGAAGCCTGACGTGTAAGTCCTTCTAGACGAAGACGCAACTGAGTGCTCGACGAGCTGCATGCCAAGACGTCGGTAACAAAGTCCCGTCCTGCCTGTCCCAGGTCCTGAACCTGCTGATAGCCCTGGAGCCAACCTCGTGTAGACCGGCGTGCTGCCGTTCGATTTAGCCGCAGGTGCGCTGCCATCCGAGGTAGGCCCCCCCGCTACGCGGGAGAGCCCGCACCCCTATTTGTCTTTCCCGTGGGTGAAGAAGCCAGCGGCCTTGGGTCTCGCGCCGCCCTCGCCAGCGGCGCGCGCCTCTCCTCCGCGCCCTCCCCCGTTGCCGTGGCCAACGCCGCGCGCGCCGGTTGCCGGAGTTTC